ACCATTTTGAACAATGCATTTTTCCAACAACCCCTTTCTCTTTTCTGGGTTCAGCAGAAGCAAACAGTCAGAAGCATCTTCAGACAGAGATAAATCCGGTTTCACTGTTTATACTCTCTCTGTCTAGCCTGCTGTGCTAGCTAACAAACTGTGCTCTAAAGCAGGGGTTCTCAAGCCATTTGGGTCTGGGGACCCCTAACAAGGATGAAAAAAATTCCAGGGACCCCCCTCATAAACACCATGCTGTTTTAAAAGATACATTATTTTCAATTCAACCCCTAAATGCCATGAGAATATATATTTTTATTAAGTTTATTATGTTTGTTTCATTAGTTCATTGTTCTCCATGCATTTTTAAAAATAAAACCAAATTAACATTTTAGTCAAATTTTTTGAGGACCCCCAAGATACCTCTCGCGGACCCCAGTTTGAGAACCGCTGCTCTAAAGGCTCCTCAGATACCTTTTCCAGAGAACTCTATGCCACGGTGGAAGGAAAGAGCTGATGGGTGCCGCCATGTTTACCTCCAGAGCTCCACTGCATCACAGCGTAGCTCTGAGATGGTAGGTTGGATCAAACATCAGTGTCATATCATCTGAGTTTATCATTATCACCTTCTGATATTTATTCTGCTCTTCTACACTGCATTAATCTGCACTAACTCATTCTATAGAGTCTATTCAGCATTTTAAATCACATTCATACACTGATGTGGCACACATAGGAGGCAATGAAGGGTTCAGTGTCTTACCCAGGAACATGTGACATGGCCATGGAGTCAAACCTCTGACTCTCTCAGAGGACAACTGCTCTAATGATGATGATCCACAGCACCACAGCACCACAGCACCCACAGAACCCACAGCACCACAGCACCACAGCACCCACAGAACCCACAGAACCCACAGCACCACAGCAGCCACAGCATCACAGAACCCACAGCACCACAGAACCCACAGCACCCACAGCACCCACAGCACCACAGTACCACAGAACCCACAGCACCCACAGCACCACAGCACCCACAGAACCCACAGCACCACAGAACCCACAGCACCACAGAACCCACAGCACCCACAGCACCCACAGCACCACAGTACCACAGAACCCACAGCACCCACAGCACCACAGCACCCACAGAACCCACAGCACCCACAGCACCACAGCACCCACAGAACCCACAGCACCCACAGCACCACAGCACCCACAGAACCCACAGCACCCACAGAACCCACAGCACCCACAGCACCACAGCACCCACAGAACCCACAGCACCCACAGAACCCACAGCACCACAGCACCCACAGAACCCACAGCACCACAGCACCACAGCACCCACAGCACCACAGCACCCACAGAACCCACAGAACCCACAGCACCCACAGCACCACAGCACCCACAGCACCACAGAACCCACAGAACCCACAGCACCCACAGCACCACAGCACCCACAGAACCCACAGAACCCACAGCACCCACAGCACCACAGCACCCACAGCACCACAGAACCCACAGAACCCACAGCACCCACAGCACCACAGCACCCACAGAACCCACAGAACCCACAGCACCCACAGCACCACAGCACCCACAGCACCACAGAACCCACAGAACCCACAGCACCCACAGCACCACAGCACCCACAGAACCCACAGAACCCACAGCACCCACAGCACCACAGCACCCACAGCACCACAGAACCCACAGAACCCACAGCACCCACAGCACCACAGCACCCACAGAACCCACAGAACCCACAGCACCCACAGCACCACAGCACCCACAGCACCACAGAACCCACAGCACCACAGAACCCACAGAACCCACAGCACCCACAGCACCACAGCACCCACAGAACCCACAGAACCCACAGCACCCACAGCACCACAGCACCCACAGCACCACAGAACCCACAGCACCACAG